CTGCTTCATTTCAGAGTCAAAAGTCAAAACTCCTTCCGTATTCGCGCTCCATAAGAAGCGCAATTACTCGAAAAATAGTCAGAAAATTGTAGAAAATTCTAACAATAACCAGATGGCTGGCAAGATTATCAGAAGCACCTCTTTTGAGGTTACTTACAAGCACATTGGAACGAATTTCATTTCTTGGCCTATGCTAGTACCATTAATTATCGAAAAGAATGAACGAATCGTAGAGAGACTGTTTGTCCGAGGCGAAACTGAACCCTCGAGCTACTGAATATCAACAGCATTACTTACCACTGCGCCACATTCTGCCCGATGTCTGGAACAACCGGAACAACTGTTAATTCATAGTGTGTTTCCCAAGTCACACACAGTTAGCAGCTTCTCGCAGCTAATTTGACCAATGCGCTGCACCAGCTTGTGGTCAACCAGTACAAAATATGAATAGAAAAAAACTGCAAAAAAAGAATTACCGGGAAAAGAACAGCAACACATGCCGTTGTGCCCGAATCCTCCCCTGGAGTATCGCCCGATGGAGGACCGTAACATGGCTCCGCTTCAGTCTAAAATTTTCTTTAATTCAATTCACGGGCTCACAAATATCGAAATATCGAAATTTTTTGAGAAATATCAGAATTTTTTGAGAATTTCCTATGAAATTAGATGGTTTCTGCTTTTAGGTACCAAAATTGTTGGTTCGACTTCATCCGACAAAAAAACTCTTCAGAGTTCACTGACTCATTTCGATAACAAACCGACAGTAAATTATCAAGCTTATTTCAAGAAGCCAAACCACCTTTAGCTCGCATCTCAAAAAAACCCGCGAAATAACAATTTCTTCGACAAACTTGCCATTGAGTAACTGCTTCCGGAAAGGTTTTTTAACTCAAACGAACTTCGAGTGTCCTGATCACGCATAAAAAGTAGAAAACGAAGCTGAAAATAAACTAAGAAATAAAAAACAGAAGCTATCAATAAACATACTTCTCCAATATCTTCGTCCTCATCCTCCTCCTCCTCTCCCCCGCTCATCTCCTCATCCCCATTGTAGTCCTCATCCACTGACTGCTCCGAATCCGAGGAAAATGCATTCTGGCCATCTGGCGTCCTGAAAATGTTACAAATAAATCCGAGTTACCGTTGCAAGCGACAAATATCATGAGTACCTGCTGAAAAAACGGTGTGGGGATCCGATGTTAATAATCATATTACGGGGGTGTTCCCTCCGAGCGCAACTGTGCCAGGCCTTTCGATCATGGGAAGCACACCCCTTTCAGTTAATAGTATCGACCGTCTGTTCAATGTATGTGCACCAACACCTCTTCGGAGATCGCCGCTCAAATGGCCACATACCTCCCCGACAGGGTCACCTTTGTATAATATAAAGGTATTTTAAAATAGGAAGATGAATAATGGAAAAGAAAATATTAAGAAATTAGCAAAAGTAGTAAAATCATTTTGATATGGTAAAAAATGTTTCGGTCCATTACGTCGTATACATTTCTTACCAATACCACAATTGGACCTCATCAGCAGATGAAATTTTAAAAATTACTTTTGCAGTTATCTTTTGTTAAGAGAATGAAAATTCATTGCTAGCCAACGAATGCTGAAATGCTTCAACAGGAAATAACTACTGAGCCTTAGAAAGCTGACCATCAGGCGATGCAGCATTGGTCATTGGTAAAAATGGAACAAGAAAGGGAGAGCCATCAAAAGCCTTTCCACCAAGTGTTTGTTGTATAATACTACTGAAGATACATCGAACGACAAGCGCTTTTTAGAGAGAATGAAATATGAAAGCAGTTCTGATTTTAATACATCAGGCATTTGGCACTTTTAAAGACAACCTTCTACCTGTGCGGCCTAATGCACCGACACATACAAACACACACACACACACACAAGTACACACACAGTCACATACACACACACACACACACAAACTGACACAGACATAAGTGAAACACATGACCACGATCTTTTATAACACGTCCTGAGCTCCAGAATATGTCCTTATCTTTTTCCTTTCTTTACCTTTTCCGGTCCGCATTTCACAATACTTTTGTTATTTTTCTCTTCCTATCATCTTCATTCCCTTCTTTCATTATTTCACAGTTAAATTTTATGATTCCAAATCTGTATAGCTAACAAAAAAAGAAAAATAAAACATAAATGTAAGAAAAAAAAAAATTATAAGAATTTTTCCAACCCTTTCAAGCAGCAAATTTTCCATCACCGAAACAATCAGAAGCTGCGTAAGTAAACAGTAACAAGTATTAAAAATGCTTACATGGGGCCCTGGCGATTGTCCGAGGAACACGCGCAGAAATCACCACCACCAGCGCCATCACTGGAAGCCGTTGAAGCATTGGTCGCCACAGGGCCTCCAACTTCTGGCTCACTAGCTGGTGCTCCATTATCCTCAGCCGCTTCAGATCTGTAACAATTAATTTCAAAGCAAAAAATTACCTTCTAATTTTTCATAACTATCAAAAATCCAACATTTTTCCATCCTACTCCATCCTTTCGAATCACGTGATACACAAATAATACGTGGAAATAATATGTGACTAAGGGTTCCACCTGTCATCTGTCGTTTCTGTTTTCGGTTTGTCGATCGGTGGATTTTCCTCGGACAACTGCATTTCCTCATCTTTTAATTCTCCTACATTCTTCACTGGTGTTTCTTCGGGATCTGCAACCGAGAAATCTCGTAACTGTCAGATTAAGTATAGTTTTTTTATACATTAAAGCGTGCTCTCTATTTCCCCCATCTGAGGCTGAAAAGACTTTCTTCTTTTCCGTTAAGCACTGCGACCGTCATACTGATGAGGAATTGTCGCGATCTTGAGTATGACTTAATGAACCGAAACGTCTTCTTTCTTTCATACTGTCCTTTATCGCGCTTTTACCAGTTAGGCTTCCAGGGTCAACCTGATTGCTACAATCTGGTTAACCATTGATTTCAAATCTCTTCAAAACACTGACGTTGTGCAACAAGGATGAAAAAAGCTAAGCAGCAGACAATCATGACACGGGACATTTGCAAAGTACGGTAAAATGCTAACAGTATAATTGTAGCACTGCTTAAACTAGAAAAACGGTGCTGATGACAGTATGGCATACGGTATCGCGACAGTAATACGGAGTGTTAATATGCGACAATGCCACAAGTACGTGACCCGCCGGTTTCAATAAAACCGCACTTTGTGGTACCGTAGATAGCACAGTATCAAACATTGCCTACTGTAGCAGTACGGTACTGTAACAGCATAATATGAAAATTATATGTACAAATACTGATTCGCAAGTAAAAATTAAAGCTAACTGTCGGAGGATTTCGTTCGTTTTGGGCTAAGCGTGAGTGGTGACGAGTCGCAAACTCGTTTCTTGGTTTTCTCTTCCACCACTTTTTCTTCCATTTCTTTACATTCATCGCTCTCCTCGTCCACATCTTCCTTCGCATCACCGTTGTGGCCGTCTACATTTGCTTCTTTTTTTACCCCATTTGACTTATTTTCGGCTTCCTCTTTAATGTCCTGGTCCTCCTGAAAAATTTTTTATTGTAATATTTTTTCGAGTTCAATGGCTTGAATTTCTTCACTGATTGTAATTTGTAGGAAACAAGGGCACAATACTCAATGAATAAGAAATATCCATTATTCCCCCTCCCAAACAATTACAAAACGAAAGCAAACGATCCAGGTTGTGCAGTGGTAAATCCGCGAAAAGCCGGCAAAGAAGTTACTACAGAAAAATACGCACTGTTTATGAGGGAAAGAAATATTCTGCCTCAGTCTGGGTACGGGTCTAGCTAGGTACAGCTTCATTTCAACGAGCGGACACCACATTCTCATCGATATTTAACAGGGCGGTAAAAACCTCCTCCCCTCCCTCTCCCCAAAGTTTGTGTCCCCGGGCAAGCTATCCCCATAAGAAATCGATAAGCATGCATTCACCTCAGGTTTGTCTGTCTCTGTGTCCTGCTTCTCGAATTGCTTGCGCATATCGTTGAAGTCGATGATCGTCTGCTTACCGGCTCGATCTCGACGTAAAACAACCCCATATCTCTGCAGAATAGTTTCGAGGGGCATCTTCGCTTCCTCATAAAGCACCTCCTGCAAAAAGAAACCAAGGAAGATTGATCCCAGATTAATTTCCTCGACAGCTTATTGCAAATCAAGTTCTCGACGTTTCGCATTCACGAATCGCTGAGAATAAATTAGCAAGAATTAAGTACAGAGATAGTGGAGCGGACACAACAGAGAGCAGTTTGTCTCTTTCATCTCTTAGCTGTAAACACTGACAGAGCACAGCTTCAAGAAGCATACTGGCATGGTTTTGACCCTTTCCAGGGATCCTTGATGTGTGTTGAGCATCATTATTTCATCCTGGATGATGCCACTCCAGGAATATGACGAGGCATCTTACCGAACAGAGAAAACCTGTTGGAATTTTGCTTAGTTATCTTCTATTCCACCCCATTTCTACAAAAAAAAAATTCTGGCTTACTCTGTCTTCCTCTTCATCGCTGGGATCTTCACGCTCACGCTTTGCTGTCGGGCGCGCGGCCATCTTTTTCAATTCCTTCAGTACTGCTTCCGATCTTAATACAGACAAAATAATTTCAGAAGCGCTCGGTAGGAAAGGGAAAAAAGACGGTAGGAACAGTTGGAGAGGAAAAAGTTTTCTTTTTTTTTTTCAGAAATGTTGGTATAAAACAAAAAATAAATGCCACTAACAGCGGACCTACCTTAATTTATCATCAAACGCCAGAAATGTATCCTCAATTGCAGAGGCATAATCACCCGACGACCAAGCAAGACTCTCCCTCAGCAAAGTTGGCAAATGCTTCGCCGTATATTCCGATACTTCGCTCCCTGCAAAAAACAACAAAAATAGCGCTTCCAAGATTGCCAGTGTAGTGGCTGAATGTGAATCCCAAGATACTGCTGGGATATATAAATCACACACTTATCACGAATACATAAATACATATATACGATGCACACAGCATATGCAATACACACACACACACATACACACACGGAAATACATAAGATCATTTAACCAATCCTATTTGTTGCTACTTTGCACCTATCATCTTCAGTAATAAACATTTTAAACTTCTATAGGTATAATTGCAAAGAAAAAATATTAAAAAAGAAAATCATAAAAAAAGTACCTCCATGTCCATCGTAGACTGCAAAAAAGGAGCAATTTTCGTCGAAATCGATGATACAATTGTGAGCATCCTAAACACAACAAAATTTATCACATTCGAGCTCGCAACTCAAAACTGTTACAAACTCAAAACTTTAATTTTTTCCATCGTAAAATTCATAATTGGCTTCAGGAGGTACGCAGCCCAGGATCGAAGAACCTTGCAAAGCTAGGCCAGGCTTATAGTAGCATTCCAGTAACAACACTAACAAGGAGCAACTACTTGGACTGCCCGTGTGTATGGTCATGACAAAAATCTCATTGTGGGAACACTGCAGTGATCTGAACGGTAAAGCTAACAAATACTTCGAAAATTTAGGCTAATTGGTGAATTCAAATAAAACAATTACTAATTTTAAAAAACTAATCGATATTTCTAGACAAAAATATATTAAATTTAAATCATAAATTAAGGATACCTGTGATTTTTATAAATCGCGATATTTTACCACGATTTTTTCATTTAATCCTAATTAAAAACCAGTTTCTACACTCCTTTTCAAATTCAAATCTGCTCACATTTTGTGTGTTGGGCCTCGTCTCAAACGTTGCCACTCTTCGATGAAGTAATTTACTAAGGAGCTGGTAAAAAGTAATTAATTTTTAGGCATACCATTTGCTGAAGAAAAAAAAATCCATCAAAATCCGATCGATTTGGAAGGAAGTTGTGATCTTATCGAAATTTAATTCTTTTTATGAGTGTGTAGGCTGACCTCCTGATTAACACGCCATCCTTGCATCGATGTTGCTGCGTAGCGTGTTCGACAATTACTCCCAGATTCGGAGATTTTCTCCGTTACAGGTTTACTTAGATATGCACCCATTGGCTGCCTTCTGCAAACAAAAGTTTCGTTAAAAAAAAAAGAAACGTTAAAAAACCAAATGTGTATCTCGAAACAACGAAAAATCTCCGCTGGACATCTGGGAATCCGGAATTTTCTGAAATAGAGCCGGAATCGGCAAAATACAGTCTGAAAACAACAAAATATACATTAGAAAAGCAAGATAATCCGGGAATGACAAAAAGCGGAAATGCGGAAAAATAGAAAATAATCCGCAAATACTCATAAATGAGGATGAAAGAAAAAGAAGAATGAGGTGTACTGCGGCTGTGCATTTTTCAAGGTCTTTTTATTTTTTTTAAATTAAAAAATGCTGTTTCTGCATTGAGTTGGAGGTAAAAATGTGGCTGTAGAAGATTCAACAGCGAAGAGGTACTTTCTGATGCTGCAGTCACAAGAAGGAAGCTTTAGAAGCATTTATATGGCGGATATGTTAATTGGTAGTTTATCAAATAAAGCTCTTATAATTGTGCCTAAACCTAGTAAGTTATCCAGCATTTAATACATATTGGTACATTTTCTTCACACTAAAACAAGTGTATTTTCCTAAATGCATAAATTTTTTTTATTTTTTATTTCAAAATTTTTATTTTTTATTTTTTTGCATAACTCTTA